AGGAGTGAACTTGCAAGACATATCTATTTCTTCTTAGCTAGATCATGTGACGTGTGTGTAAGTTTACATTTCTGCATAAATCTCAGAGGAGGTCTCGTCACATTCTTACACAGATATTCACCAGACCTTCACCTCTATTTGATAATTCACGATTTGGCTAAACTTTATTATTTCTAAGGATTCGCGAATATTATCGTCTCTTTTGTTAAGCCACTGTTAGTGTTTTGTTCTTCCATAATACCTTATGTTGTCGTTTTTGTACATGTTCTGCTATGGCCGAATTTTTAATCCTTTCATAATTTACACATCCCTTATGTTCTGCTAAACGATATTTTAAATAACTTTTTGTCTGTCCAATATAAACACTTCCACATTCTCATTCAATTTTATAAACTCCAGATTTTCCATTAATCTTTGGTATTGCCTAAAATTTGTTTTATATTATTCATCGATTTAAATATCGAGGAAAATATTTATTGTTTTTTTTAAACTGGGACATACGGCAACATTAAATATCTTAACACTTAACTTGTCATGATTGTATTCTTCACTCGGGACCGGCTGGATTCATCTGGAAACAACCTTTAGCTTTCCCTTCTTGCTTACACCTGAACATAGCTGAAGCTATGATAATTATTAGCGCTAAAACAGATAACTATAAAAAGTACAAAGTCATTCAGTTGAAAACTTATCCTTTTTTGGGTGGCGTAGGTAAGTCACACCAGTCAGTTCAATAATCATGTTGTATCACGTGGCTTGCTAACTGTATCCTCCATGGATATTCATGACAACTGATATAAATAATTACTAAGTGATCCAACCCCAGAATTACACAACAATCCTGTAAGTCTAACACTTAGTGTCAATGACACCGAAACAAATTATTGGAATAATTCAATTTACTTTGGTATAAATATACTTATATGTAAATAGAATCCCACCCAATGTCAGCTCTCCAAAAATAACAATCTCTCTCTCCAGTATCAGTCTCAATGTATACAACGTATAAACAAAGAACAAACTCTGTTTTGGAAAACCGCGAGAAATGATGAAGAAATAGATGTTTCTTCTAGAATATATTTTTATGAGAACAAGCACTTCCTCGTATATGTGTATATATACATATATGTATATATATATATATATATATAACAACGATGTAAGTAACGCAGTAATAAACAATATAGTGCATGGACTGGTCTTTCTACTGTTTTGGGACCTTTCCGGAAAGGCTTTATTCTTTCACGTTTCAGATCCATTTGGGATGAAGCTACACGAAGTGCTGTTTCCCACGTACTAGACTACGGTTCTACGTCACTTCCTTTACTACGAATGTTTCCGGTCCCAGTGTCAATATTTATGCCAGTTTCTAAATTGGAAGGAAATGGTTGAAAAAAGTAGTGGTGACAGTGCAACTTTTCATAAAGATGAATTATATATAATAATATTTTGAGAAACAAATATCTTATTAATCTCCGGCGTAATACATAAAAAACTTCTATAACTCAGGGTTAAAGGTTCACAACCCTAGTAAGCCTAAGGGTGGCCAACCGTTTTGGTAGCTGTACCAATTTTAGGATCCGAATTTTGAGAAAGGTGCCACTGATCCGAAACCAGAACAAAACGAAAGCCTATAGGAATGGAGAGATGGAGGTTCAGGCTATCAGTTTGAAAGGATTTACAAATACAATAAAATAATATGATATGCATTTTAATAACACATCATGCACGTGCGGAAATTACAAACTATTTTTTTTTTTTGCTACGTGTCACAATACTTGATATATTGCAGCTAGCAGAAGAAAGTGAAGTATAAAACGGACCACTGGTCTATTTCCCCACTTGTTTAATGGACGCATTACTTAAGTGCAACGGGCGAAGAATCAATACAGTTGACTCTACATCAGATCCTTACAACGTTGTGTTATTGGGGTTTTTTTAATCCGGGTTTTAGACGAAAATAAATTAAAAGTATTGAGAATTTTCTCACTAAGGAAGAAATATATGAGAATTCTACTCATCAGCACGAGATATAACTCGGTCTTGATGATGAGGTGTTTATTGTTTCAGCGCTTCGTTATCGAATGAGGCAGCTGCAGCTTGGTTCGCTGAGAAAAGAATGTTCAAGTTGATTTTTAGACGCGCTTTACAATCACATATTCCTTACATTTGGATGTTTCGGTGTCAACGTTTTTAGACACATAACTGAAGAACGAACGTTCAATATGTTGGTACTTCGATATGTTCGTTTGGTAATAATTAGTACCCTTCAATACTTTATCGATTTACGGTAATAGCAACACTTTTCCTATTAATTATTGCCTTCAAGAATTAAAATACCATTGAAACTGCATAATTAATAATATATGTAAATTATATCTAATCAAAAACACCTTAGGTGTGAAAAAAGTGCAGCCTAAAAAGGGTTGAGTGTGTGACCTAAAGGAATGAAATCAAAATTGGCGACTAAACAAATAGCTACACTTATAGCACTGATAAGAATTTTACAGTAAATATTCATTCATTAGGTAGCCAGGCAGCGTTTTTTGTTCAACTTGGCATGATGGTGGTTAAAACGAAATACACGACCTAGCTAACTAATGAATGAATATTGCTGTAAAATTATTATCAATGCTATAAGTGTAGCTACCAGTTGCCGCCAGTTTTGATTTCATTACTTTAAGTCGCACTATCAAACTTTTTCTAGCCGCACCTTTTTTTCACACCTAAAGTGTTTTTAATTAGATATCATGACGTTTTGTCAATACACACCAAGAAACTGCAGCAAGTAAGAAAGTGACATTCGCCAGTAATCAACATTAGCTTTAGGATCGCAACCCTATTATTTGGAACAGACCTATTATACTTTACAGAACCAACCAGATTCTTTGAAATATATGATGGTGGTTTTCCTCTCTAAAACAGTGTTAATAGCTTCCTTTATAGTAACGCGATGGAATTTAG